ATAATTTACACATAATATTAAAACGAAACAGTGTTTTTTTATTTCACGATTCTGAATCAACCACTCGACGGATTTTCATGATTTTTGTGTTGAAAGAAAGATAATTTTGAGAACTAGGGAATATCGAAGCCACAATTTTAGTTTAGGGTCCCAGTTTTTTAGAAATTAAGTTTTAATTTTTAAAAAGTCCAGCAGCCGACGCTAAGATTCTAAACCAGCTTTTGGCATAAAATAATTTGCTTAACATAACAGCTGTAAACATTCAGCTTTTGTGTCACTAATTCAGCATTTGGATAAAAATGTAAAGACATACTTAGGGTTTTAAGACTTATTTATACTATGTGTAATGCTAATCATTGATACGTTCAATTCTTCTGTAAGAGGATGACAGATTAATTAAATATACATAGTAAAATACTAGGATGTTCAAATTATTTTTTAAAACAATCTTTGTAATCTTCGATTTGTTTTAGAGCAATATAATTTGTTTGAACTACAGCTGGTTAAATATAAACTATGGAACTGAGGTTATTTTATTTACTCTTATTTTGTCATTGATTATGGGAAATAAGTAAGATTAGTAGAGATAATTAGACCACAGTTTAAAATAGTTTAGACCAAAATTAATTAAACCACAGTACAAATCGAGGCTCTGTACACGAGTTTTAATAAAAAGGATAAATGCAAATTATTTTACTGCTCCACTTTTCAAGGAAAGGTTAGAAAAATAACAATGTTTACATGTTTTAATTCTTCATGGTAGCTTTTTGTTTACAATTAATGTTTAACTTCTTGATCAGCATTGTACGTGTTATTAAATTTACGGAAAGTAAATAAAAGTATAAGTATAAGCGTAAATATATGTTTTAAGTGTTATAAGACGTTTCTTTTATTTACTTTCCGTAATTAATGTTTGTCTGCTTTAACTTTGTTTGGATTAGGCCCGGAAATATTTATGTCATAAAAAGAAGATCAAGAATAATCAGGAATCACGATTTTAAATTACCACCACAACCTCAGCCGGGTTTTATACAAAGATAAATAGATGGATGACATAGATTGAACACAATGTCAACCTTGACCTAGGATACTGCAATTAGACGAACCATCCTTTTACGAAATCGTGTTCAGTTGTGGTTATTTATTTATTTCATACGGAAACACCATTATACAATAATATACATTGGCAGATTGCACTGTTTTGCACTGTTTGTGTTTGGGGGTGCCTAGCGCAATGGTAAATTTATTCAATGAGGGTGGGTAATTATCAAGGATGGAACTGATAACGGGATGGATAATAAACATTGACAATAACGCCATTAGCTTTACTAGCGTGTTTACTTTTTATATTCCTGCTACATTTGGCCAGTTCTTTTTTTCAAATGAATGTTATTTGAACCAAACAGCTGTTTCAAAACAAACTGTTATTGTCTTTACTTTTCTTTGTTTACACTTATTTATTTAACAATTAATGCAGTGAAATTGATATAAAGGATAGGTGTGATGATTAGTTTTGATGTTGGGACACCAAAGTTAAATTATGTGTACTGTGAATTTTATTGGATGTTTTCGTTTTATTTTAGGTCGTTTCTATTCAGACCTACTGGAAATTGTGTATAACAGTTGTATTGTGCTGATAATAATTATGGAAGAGGCAGGTATGCTATGGAAGGTGGTATCGTTGACTAGGTCTATATACACTATATACACTTCTCAATTTTTTTTTTTTTTTTTTTTTTTTACGCCAGTGGCATTTCACGAGAGTTACGAGAGATAAATGTTCACTGGATGTGCCGGGGATTGAACCCGTCCCTCCCGCACCGAAGTCCGAGACGCTAACCACTAGGCTAGCAACACAACCCAATTGACTATTACTCTCTCTACTGTATGCTACTTATAATCAGTGTGCGTCTGTGCGAATTGGCTCCAAACCTCACTTCAACGCTTTTCACATCATAAAAATTGCAGAATTACTGTTTTATTGTAAAATTATCAGATTTAAAATGCATATCGTACAGGCCTATGATGGAATAAAAACATATTTGGTCACACAACATTTGTTTACAAGATGATTTTTCACATTAAAACTGCAAGAAACTTTGTCTTTATATGTGTAAACTAGCTGATCTGAATTGAAACGGTTTCAACTGACTACTGAATTCCCGTAGGAGGGGCTAACACCTCGTAAAGTTTAAGATTAAATAAACCTAACAAATAGTTGTTTATTTTTTTGGATCATCTGTCTGAAATTGTGAAATAGGCATTTGACAGTTCTGGTTGTTTACATTTAAATGTCAAAGAAAATGTAAACATTGTGAATTTTATCATGCTTCCATGGAGACCAATAGTTATTAATATTTAATTTCTGACAACAGCTGGAGTTTCAAAACAATATTTGTTTCCCATGTTAATCTTATGGAGAAATACGAAACTTTAAAGGGCCCCTCACACCTAAAAATAAAGTTTCCTGCACAACTTCACGTTACGCTCTTTCCAATGACACCAAAAACATGACAATCGGTTCAGTAGTTTCGGAGGAGTAATTGTCACAAAAATCCTGCTTGCCTATTAAATAAGTATAGATTTAGGGTTTTAATTTAAAACCTCCTTTTTAAATTTGACTCAATAACAAACGCACGTTACTCAGGTGACCACTGTTCTATGAGCGATAATGGCATCGTGTAGGCTTTCCAACGAACCTAACCCCACGACTCTCAGACGACCTGTCGCTGTTCAGCGTGATCAGTGCGCTGCATAAAATATATCAGTTTTTTGGCCTCACCCTGTATAATACAAAGTAACGGTAGTGATATTTTGTCTGCAATAATGAAACTGAAAGACAAACATAACAAGAAAAGCATGGGATGTCAGACCATACCAGCCATCTACAGAACTGTTAAACATCTACAGAAGTCAATTGCGTAATGAACTGTTACCACAATACACAGAGTTATGAAACTACATTCCAGTCGGGAATTACCTTTTAGCAGTCAAATAAAAAGACAATATTTGATAGTAGAAATATACAGCCGTGCATACCAGTAGCTCAAGTGAACAGAATAATACAGCAGTGCATGTCAATGGTTCAAGTGAACAGAATAATACAGCAGTGCATGTCAACGGTTCAAGTGAACAGAATAATACAGCAGTGCATGTCAATGGTTCAAGTGAACAGAATAATACAGCAGTGCATGTCAATGGTTCAAGTGAACAGAATAATACAGCAGTGCATGTCAACGGTTCAAGTGAACAGAATAATACAGCAGTGCATGTCAACGGTTCAAGTGAACAGAATAATACAGCAGTGCATGTCAATGGTTCAAGTGAACAGAATAATACAGCAGTGCATATCAATGGTTCAAGTACACAGAATAATACAGCAGTGCATATCAATGGTTCAAGTACACAGAATAATACAGCAGTGCATGTCAATGGTTCAAGTGAACAGAATAATACAGCAGTGCATGTCAATGGTTCAAGTACACAGAAAAATACAGCAGTGCATGTCAACGGTTCAAGTACACAGAATAATACTGCCGTGCATACCAGTAGCTCAAGTGAACAGAATAATACAGCCATGCCAGTAGCTCAAGTGAACAGAATAATACAGCCATGCCAGTAGCTCAAGTGAACAGAATAATACAGCAGTGCATGTCAAAGGTTCAAGTGAACAGAATAATACAGCAGTGCATGTCAATGGTCCAAGTAAACAGAATAATACATCAGTGCATGTCAATGGTTCAAGTACACAGAATAATACAGCAGTGCATGTCAATGGTTCAAGTACACAGAAAAATACAGCAGTGCATGTCAATGGTTCAAGTACACAGAAAAATACAGCAGTGCATGTCAACGGTTCAAGTACACAGAATAATACTGCCGTGCATACCAGTAGCTCAAGTGAACAGAATAATACATCAGTGCATGTCAACGGTTCAAGTACACAGAATAATACAGCAGTGCATGTCAATGGTTCAAGTACACAGAATAATACAGCAGTGCATGTCAATGGTTCAAGTACACAGAATAATACAGCAGTGCATGTCAATGGTTCAAGTACACAGAATAATACAGCAGTGCATGTCAATGGTTCAAGTACACAGAATAATACATCAGTGCATGTCAATGGTTCAAGTGAACAGAATAATACATCAGTGCATGTCAACGGTTCAAGTACACAGAATAATACAGCAGTGCATGTCAATGGTTCAAGTGAACAGAATAATACATCAGTGCATGTAAACGGTTCAAGTACACAGAATAATACAGCAGTGCATGTCAATGGTTCAAGTACACAGAATAATACAGCAGTGCATGTCAATGGTTCAAGTACACAGAATAATACAGCAGTGCATGTCAATGGTTCAAGTACACAGAATAATACAGCAGTGCATGTCAACGGTTCAAGTGAACAGAATAATACATCAGTGCATGTCAACGGTTCAAGTACACAGAATAATACAGCAGTGCATGTCAATGGTTCAAGTACACAGAATAATACAGCAGTGCATGTCAATGGTTCAAGTGAACAGAATAATACAGCAGTGCATGTCAATGGTTCAAGTACACAGAAAAATACAGCAGTGCATGTCAACGGTTCAAGTGAACAGAATAATACAGCAGTGCATGTCAATGGTCCAAGTAAACAGAATAATACAGCAGAGCATATCAATGGTTCAAGTACACAGAATAATACAGCCGTGCATACCAGTAGCTCAAGTGAACAGAATAATACAGCCATGCCAGTAGCCCAAGTGAACAGAATAATACAGCCATGCCAGTAGCTCAAGTGAACAGAATAATACAGCAGTGCATGTCAAAGGTTCAAGTGAACAGAATAATACAGCAGTGCATGTCAATGGTCCAAGTAAACAGAATAATACATCAGTGCATGTCAATGGTTCAAGTACACAGAATAATACTGCCGTGCATACCAGTAGCTCAAGTGAACAGAATAATACAGCCATGCCAGTAGCTCAAGTGAACAGAATAATACAGCCATGCCAGTAGCTCAAGTGAACAGAATAATACAGCAGTGCATGTCAAAGGTTCAAGTGAACAGAATAATACAGCAGTGCATGTCAATGGTCCAAGTAAACAGAATAATACATCAGTGCATGTCAATGGTTCAAGTACACAGAATAATACAGCAGTGCATGTCAACGGTTCAAGTACACAGAATAATACAGCCGTGCATGCCAGTAGCTCAAGTGAACAGAATAATACTGCCGTGCATAACAGTAGCTCAAGTGAACAGAATAATACAGCCATGCCAGTAGCTCAAGTGAACAGAATAATACAGCAGTGCATGTCAACGGTTCAAGTACACAGAATAGTACAGCAGTGCATGTCAATGGTTCAAGTGAACAGAATAATACAGCAGTGCATTTCAACGGTTCAAGTACACAGAATAATACAGCAGTGCATGTCAATGGTTCAAGTGAACAGAATAATACAGCAGTGCATATCAATGGTTCAAGTGAACAGAATAATACAGCAGAGCATATCAATGGTTCAAGTACACAGAATAATACAGCAGTGCATATCAATGGTTCAAGTACACAGAATAATACAGCAGTGCATGTCAATGGTTCAAGTGAACAGAATAATACAGCAGTGCATGTCAATGGTTCAAGTACACAGAATAATACAGCAGTGCATGTCAATGGTTCAAGTACACAGAATAATACAGCAGTGCATGTCAACGGTTCAAGTACACAGAATAATACAGCCGTGCATGCCAGTAGCTCAAGTGAACAGAATAATACTGCCGTGCATACCAGTAGCTCAAGTGAACAGAATAATACAGCCATGCCAGTGGCTCAAGTGAACAGAATAATACAGCAGTGCATGTCAACGGTTCAAGTACACAGAATAATACAGCAGTGCATGTCAATGGTTCAAGTGAACAGAATAATACAGCAGTGCATATCAATGGTTCAAGTACACAGAATAATACAGCAGTGCATGTCAATGGTTCAAGTGAACAGAATATTACAGCAGTGCATATCAATGGTTCAAGTGAACAGAATAATACAGCAGTGCATGTCAATGGTTCAAGTGAACAGAATAATACAGCAGTGCATGCCAGTAGCTCAAGTGAACAGAATAATACAGCAGTGCATGTCAACGGTTCAACTGAACAGAATAATACAGCAGTGCATGTCAACGGTTCAAGTACACAGAATAATACAGCAGTGCATGTCAATGGTTCAAGTACACAGAATAATACTGCCGTGCATACCAGTAGCTCAAGTGAACAGAATAATACAGCAGTGCATATCAATGGTTCAAGTGAACAGAATAATACAGCAGTGCATGCCAGTAGCTCAAGTGAACAGAATAATACAGCAGTGCATATCAACGGTTCAAGTACACAGAATAATACTGCCGTGCATACCAGTAGCTCAAGTGAACAGAATAATACAGCAGTGCATGTCAATGGTTCAAGTACACAGAATAATACTGCCGTGCATACCAGTAGCTCAAGTGAACAGAATAATACAGCAGTGCATATCAATGGTTCAAGTGAACAGAATAATACAGCAGTGCATGCCAGTAGCTCAAGTGAACAGAATAATACAGCAGTGCATATCAACGGTTCAAGTACACAGAATAATACTGCCGTGCATACCAGTAGCTCAAGTGAACAGAATAATACAGCAGTGCATGTCAATGGTTCAAGTACACAGAATAATACTGCCGTGCATACCAGTAGCTCAAGTGAACAGAATAATACAGCAGTGCATATCAATGGTTCAAGTACACAGAATAATACTGCCGTGCATACCAGTAGCTCAAGTGAACAGAATAATACAGCAGTGCATATCAACGGTTCAAGTGAACAGAATAATACAGCAGTGCATGTCAACGGTTCAAGTACACAGAATAATACAGCAGTGCATGTCAACGGTTCAACTGAACAGAATAATACAGTAGTGCATGTCAACGGTTCAACTGAACAGAATAATACAGCAGTGCATGTCAATGGTTCAAGTGAACAGAATAATACAGCAGTGCATGCCAGTAGCTCAAGTGATCAGAATAATACAGCAGTGCATGTCAACGGTTCAACTGAACAGAATTCGAAATCCTAAAATTAGGAATAGCTAAATGTTAGAATGGAATGGAATATGGAACAAAATATTAGAGGATCAATTGCCTAATAATAGTATATGTGTGGTATAAGGAGCATGTGCATGAACAGAGAAATCAAGATAATGTTATACAAACATTTTTAATAATAACATTAACATCACAGGATATGAAAAAAATAATATACAATTTTTTTAAGGAGGTTAGCGGCCTCTTTAACCTTGCATTTGTCTGCCCACACAAACCTCAGGCCCGTGCATGGAACGATATCCAGCAAAACGTGATCATACGGTACAAATGTACTGATAAAAAGTAGTGGCAGGAACCAGGATCGAGCCCAAGCCATAGTTACCATTGGCTTTAAGTCCATAGTACTATCGATTAAGCTACCGACTCACAATACAAGTAGGTAGTTAAAATACCTTCTACTGCCGAGTAATTCATACTAGTCCTATCTAGCCTACCAGTTACGACTATCAGAAGGAGATTTCTTCGGGCCATAAGTGTAACTTTTCATTTACAACAGCACGTAAGTATAGTAGAACAAAGTAGGTATAAAGTAAAAGAGAGATGTGCAGAGACGTATATGGGACACCGAAATGGTCTTTTTACTTGGCGAAATATTTGTGATTACATGATTTGGCGGAGTTTGTGTATGTATTTTCGGGTGATACTGTTTGAAAAGTGACATTTTGTGGCCTGAAGAAGACTCCTTTTGATGGTCGTAATTGGTGGTCTAGAATCTATATAGAACTATAAGAATCACTCGTTAGTAAAATGTATACGTAAAAGGTATAAGGTATTTTTGTTACATTTACTATCAGTGATTCAGGGGCTAACAACATAAAAAAATATAAGTAACAGCACAACTTGATAAACTACTTACTACATCACAAGGTCTGCTTTTAAAAACTTAAAATAAAAATTACAGAAACTGGGGGATATATTATCTACTTACTAATTTTCTGGAACAATAATTTGATAACTGTTCAAAAATCAACCCTTTTTCATAAGTTATAAATAAATAAAGCAGCCTATACAGATATATTCACAATCACAAAAATGATAATAGGATATTTACTCAAATAAAATCACTATACAGTATGTACTTAGTAACAGAAGAAACAATTCACAGTACTTACAAAAACTAAACTCTTTATAAAAAAATCATTACACATGAAAAATAGTGTTACAACAATCCTATATCTGTACGAACATTATAAACTTATTATTCACATGTTTGGGTGAGAATTAAATATTGACTATATAGTCAACTCTAAATAATCTGACAGTTACAGCATTGGCTTTTAGATACTGAGGTAGATATTCATCTACAGTACATCAAGCACATGCAGAAGTTACAGATGCGTTTGGAAAACCTAAGCAAACATTTGATACGTACAGCAGTGTGATTGATTCCAATAAACATGATATTTGAACAAAAAGTTTTGAAATGCAATGAAGTGCAACTATTTTATCAAAAACAATGTTACATTGATGTTAAAAGAAAGTTTGTTGTGTACACAATAATTTTTGGTGTGATAATTAAATCGGCAACTTACAAATTAAGTGGTGATAACTCTAACCACTTAACTACTCAGCGTAATAATTATCAAAATTGTAAACATAATATCAGATTAAAGAAATCAAAGTGTTTTAGGTTTCTTTTACAAAAGACAGTGAGTTTTTTCCTTGACACTTTGACAACAATGTCAAACTATTGAGAGCTAACTGCTGTATCAACCAAGTATTGCAATAGTTGGAGTCTTCAACATTTATCACGGTTTTACAACTAGTGCCGGCATTATAAGTACTACAGTATAAGACGAATGCCGATTTAGGGGTTTAACTTCTTCACTACCTTCTACTACCAGTACATCTAATTTGAAAAGTAAATTTGAAAAACTAAAGCTAACCTAAAGCTGCAAACTTGACAAAAAGAGCACACCAAGGAAAAGGATCTGTACACTCTTGAATTGGAAGACTGATAAAACAAAATATGGAAAATCATGGTGTGCAACTTTCTTTTGTTACAGCGAACGAATATTTAGAGTATTATTATCATATTTTAAGACACTTTCATTACACTGAACAACAGAGATTACAGTATTTTATGCTGGGGCATGGGTAAAAATATATGTGATGTGGAGAGAAAAAATTATATTGGAAGACTGATCAAACAAAATATGGAAAATCATGACCCACCCTCTTGTCGGGAATTTTTTGATTTTGAGTTATATACTTGAATTCCTTATTGAATTCCGAATCACTTGGTGCAAGTCCACTGCATCTAAGATTTTCTTTGTTAAAGTAAAGTTATAAAACTTTGAAATTTTGCTATGCAAAAAGGGTCATTAAAAAACCATTTAAAAATTTCAAATATGCATAAAAACAGTTTTTTTTAAGAAACAATTTTGGTAACAAAAGAAAGCTTACAATGTCCTCTTTGGAGGCAGTACCAATTTTTGTCTTAACTCACGGTAGTTTTAATTTAAATAATTGTTTTATCAAAGCATGTCGTAAAGATCATATTTCAGAAAAAGAGACCTCTTGTCGGTCCTAAGTTATTTCTCCATTACATAATAAAAGGTACCTCTTGTCGGGATTGCAAAAATTGTGAGATAATTTGTTTCCCTTAAACTGAACTTTGTTATAGCACACTAAATTTCCACTAGAATGCAGGACAATTCATTTTTTGGACTAAAGTCTGTTAATAAAGTGAACATTAGAAATGGGACCTCTTGTTGTTACGGCGAAATAACATTGAGCGACAAGAGGTACCTTTTCTCAGACCGTGCAGAGGCTGACAAAATGATTTATTCTTTTACATCTTCGATTCAATATTTTAACCGATAATGTCCTGTTCTGAGTTAAATGAGGTATAACAATCGATAAAAAACCCAATTTCGATATTTTCTACCTTAATTACTTATATCGGATGTACTGAAAATGTTGCATAGCCGACCAACAAGAGGTCCCTTTACGCTTTCCACATCACATATTTTAAAATTCTTTTAGGTTTGACATACTTATTGTCATTACAAAAAGTACAGGAGATTTATCTTTGTCAAGCTGTTCACAGTTATGAAAGCTTTGGAATTGTTAGCAAACAGTAATAGATTACAACTACAAGAAGCCACATGCAATATTATAAAGTGTCATAAAATGTCACAAAAGTATACTAAAAAAATCATCATCATTCAAAAGTTCATCATAAGTTGTTTATAATCAACATCAGCTCCAAACTTATTGTTGTTATCGTGGTCCCCTACATGAGTCTTATCTTTCAACGTACATTAAAAGTATTTTCATAGGCTACAAATTTAGCTAAACTATGAAGCCCAGAAACTCTTATAGTTCAACCCAATTATACAGGAAGGCCTAGTTTCATCTTAAAAAAGTAATTCATTAATAAAATTAAAATGTATTGTAATCTGTCTTACCTCCTAATGACTATTGGTATAACCGTATGTAGATGTATATTAATGAATATTTTTTCTAAAGTCTGATTTTTTTCACAGATACAACACACAGAGTATGAGTATATAAATGTTGAAATTAAAGTTGCTCTCAGGTAATTAACAAACATTTTTTGGCACAAATGCTTAGTTTACTTCAGTTAATTGCTCAGTACTGCCACTTAACAACAAGATAAAAACACATTAAACATAATTAAAATACCTGGTTACACAGGGCGTTTTCAACAAATCTAACACCTCTGGGTGTTTAGTGTTTCCCCTTGGATCATCTGGCTGGTTCTTTCTTTACAGTTTTCACCTTTGCTAGGTTGGCAGTGCTAGATTTTTTCTCCTCGCTACACAAGCACCATGGAGTCACGGTTCTGTTACACCGTAGGGCCACATTGACCACTGTGACTGCAGCATTGTCAATCATCAATGTGCGGCGTGCTTGTATGCTGAAACATTGGTATTGTTACGTAACATATTAATTAGCTTTATTAATTCGTAAATCAAAGGACTTTTTCAACTGAAAATAAATTATAGGAATTATATTATAAGCATAATTATGTTAAGGTCATGTGAGGTAAGTAAGTGGATGCCCCAAATCAGGAAATCACATAGTACAACTCAGGCCACAGATTAAATAAAGGTATCAGCAATCTGACACATACTTTCTCCCATTAGCTTGTCAACAACCTTTATCATTGGTAAGCGATGAGAGTAACTCACTATGATATTTAATAGGTAAAGCACAAAAGTTGCATTAACTTTTGAACCGTAGTTTTTACAGGAATAGGGGGCTGCACTACATTGTTTAGAATTAAAAGGACCATAACAAACAAATTTCAATCAGAATAGTTTTTTTTAATCAATTTTTTTGTTTTTTTCATGGGTTTTTTATGGGAAAATAAAAATATAATAGGTTACAGAAGAGAATCGAAAATCCGAACGTCAAAATTCCGAGGGTTCTAAAATATTGAATTAGCACAGAGACAACAGATGTTTTACAATTTCGCGGGCCAAACAGTCAGCGCCTGGCAGGGAAATGAGTGAACGCGCCGAGCCAGTCTGTGTTTTGTTTGTTTCCAATGTATAAACTCTGTATGCCTAATTATGTGTCTATTAGGCATTTCTAGGCTATGTTTGAAAATCCGAACAAATCGTTAATCTGAACTACACCTATAATTGGTTTGGATTTTTGACTATCTACTGTACAATAACTTTTGAACCTAAATTTTTACGGGAATGGGATTTGTACAGTTTTGTTCAGAATTTAAAGGACAATAACATACTAAGCTAATTTTCAACAAAAGCGGTTTTTTTTTTTAATTCTGATTTTTTAATATTGTATGGTTTTTTTATGGGAAAAAAACATAATTTACAATAACTTTTGAGTCGTAACTTTTATGGAAATGGGATTAATACCATTTTGTTCAGAATTACTCTAAAATGTTGACGAAAACATTAACAATACTTTCTCCATATGGAGAAGGTAAAAATACTTGTAGGTGCTACAAAATATCAAATTTCCTGAGCTTATTCTTTGGAATGTTTGTATATGTGTTTTTTTTATTTTTTTATATTAATTTTGTGTTTTTGAGAATTTTTTTAAAAATTATGTTTAGGTTGTACACTTCCCCTTGATCTGCCCCCCCCCCTTAATGTAGCATTGCACTGTATATTTCTTAATGTTGGGGCAAGTGGATTGTAGAGGGAAAAATTAGCTTACTTTTGATTTTTATTTATCAACAAAATATCTCAAACGGTTCAGGAGTTGTGAACTTTTTTGTTAACTTCTACAAGGGAAAAGGGGAAAACCAGTTTTATTAGAAATTTTAGAGTAAAAAAAAACCTTATGATTCCACTATTTCATTGAATTACCAATTACTAAGTCTCAAAGAGCAGAAAATGAGCTTAAGTTTTGTATTTTAATATAATTAAAATAGCAAACTATACGGTAACGACAGTTAGGAGTTTTTTTAAACCTCCGCTCGGTGAAGTAACTTAAAACCACAATATTTTAAATTGTAATTGACGTAGGCCCTGAATGTTCCTATATTAACCCTAGAGTGGTGTCTTGATTTTTATCACAGGTTTGGTTTCTTTGATCTGTGAGACCGTTTTCAAATTTATTGATATTTTTTGTATATAGCTTTAACCAAATAAATTACAGTCTAACCTTGATATAACAAATTCCTTGATATAATGAATTTTTTTAAATCCACTAGAACTCTCCATGACACACAATGGATATTTTACATCTACATAACAAACAAACCATATCAACAACCTTGATTTAACAAATTTTTGACGATCCTGACATTCCAGTGTGAATCGTACATAATTTTGTATACAAAAATTCACAATCCAGTGGCCAACCATCATGAAATTTATCATTACATTGTCAGAACCTCTAAATAGTGAATTTAACCTCTACTTAACGAATTGTCTACATCTTTCCCTCGATATAACAACCCCCCCCCCACATTATTGTTTTTGAAAAATCACAGTTTCTTGATGAAAATGAAATGGAAAGGTGACGTCAACGCTTGCGCTAACATTCATCTGATCTTTTTTACACATCTGTCTGCTGTGAGCTATGTCCCAACCCAACAGATTTTTTGATTTCATTCACTGAGAACTGATTTCTTCGTAATGCTTAGTAAATTGGGATTGGGTGATAAGTAACTATGGCGACTTTTTGAATTTTTTGATGAAGAGAAACCTAAGAAAGAACAGAAGAGCAATGAGAAGGAATAGCAACATCGTTACCTTTATTCCTTTTACGAGTGTTTTTATTATCTTTTAATGATTATACACTTTTATGATGATGTTTTATTGTTTTCAATACAATTTGTTTCAACTAAGGCAACACCAATGTTATAGTTGATTATTATTATTGACATTTCTCTGTTGTGATGAAGTAGTACACTACTAGCCCTATGGCCTATCACGAGCAGTAGCTTACAAAACTCTCTACTGTTTTGTTTTGTTCTTTACGTGATTGTGATTTATTGCTATACAGTCATGATTGCGCAATATTAATGACTAGTGGCCCGTAGGTGCCATAGCCTCTAATTTAGACACAATTGTGCATATGAAGGCAACTCCCCATTTCACGGTAGTAAGTCAGAAATATATCTATGAATTTGTCCCGGAATTTCAAAACAGTAAGACCCATTTCCTGGAATCTCTTTTTGTGTAGCAAAAAGCGACGCAAAAGCCATTGCACTGTTGTATTGCCTTATGTTTTTTTATGAAGTTAGAATCATGTAAAAAAATTTTTTTAGTTTGTCATTTAATTGTGGTTGTGGCATGTTAATGAGTCCATTGTGGCAGTGGTGTAGATAGATTCTTGTCAATGGGGGATACCGGGGGTCCCCCCCCCCCCGGAAAATTTGAAAAAAATAACTTCTCTAAACACTATTTTTAAGCGTTTAGGAAGTTAAATCTGGTGTTAATACTTAAAAAAATTGTATCCAATTTTGTACTTATGAAATTTAACTTTTTGCTTTAATTGCAGGTGGACTAGTTTTTTAGCAGTGTTCTGTGATCTGTCCAAGGCGTTCGATTGTGTGAACCATGATGTATTAAGTAATAAACTTAAATATTATAACTTCTCTGATCTGGCACTGTCTTGGATACAATCTTATTTAAAAAAAACAGGCAACAGAGAACTGTCATTAAGAAAAATGGCAAACATTTCATTTCAAAATGGCAAACCATCAATTGTGGTGTACCCCAAGGATCAATTTTAGGTCCCTTGTTATTTTTAATATTCATCAATGATGTTCCTAACAATGTATCATCAAACCTAATATTATATGCTGATGACACTACAGCAATAGTAAAAGCAAATGATGTACATACTCTTAGATTAGAGCTTGATCGTTCCATTGTAGACTTAACTAACTGGTTTGCGGCAAATGGTTTAAAACTTAATAATTCTAAAACACATATTATGCAATTCCAAACACTACAGAATAAGCAAAACATAATTTTTGAATTACCATATGAAAACGATATTTTAGCTTTTGTCGAACAAACAAAATTTTTAGGCTTAAATATTGATAAAAATTTGACATGGAAACATCACATTGAAATATTAGCTAAAAAATTACATTCAGCTTGTTTCCAGATGTATGTTTTAAGAAACATGATAGATTCTAAAACAAAGGTCATAGTTTATTATGCCATATTTTTTTCCATTATGCAATATGGTATTGAGTTATGGGGCTCAACATCATATCCTTACAACGTTTAAATTAAAATACTTTTGATTATTTTTGTTTGTCTTTGTTGCTGAAGTACAACTATGGAGTAAAGTGTGTGATAAACAGTAAACGTGGTCCATTCATAGATGTATTCAAAATTCAAAAGTGGTACGTGATATGCTTTTTTACCATGTATGGCAAAAACTCCAAGAACTAGGTTTTGGTCTTATTTTTAAATTGAAGACTTAAAAAAATTTTAAGAATAGGCCTTTAAATTTTATGGTAGCTGTAGAGGTGAATATAAATACGAGCAAATTTTATATCAAATTTAAATTGATTGATACCTTGGAATTAAATTTATAAATACAAAGATTTTAATTTATGGAAATTTAGCAATAATTATTTTAATCAAAATTATCAAAAACTTTTAATCATTTAAAACCACATTAGGCCCCTTTTATGAACCTGCGGCATGCAGCAAACATATATGCTAACTAATTGTTGCCGTGAGAGCACCCCATGGTCCTCGTTTTATTTCTGACTGGGGGCCTCAAATCAACATCTAGCCGAGGGCCTCCAATGGAGCCAGACCGGGCCTGCTTACCCATTATAGGTTCAAGGGGGGGGATATATCCAACTGATCCCCCCTCCCCCCCATATCAACACCACTGCATTGTGGCAACATGCGTTGAAATGGCCATTTGTGCCCTCGTTGGGAAAAGGAAAAAGATAATGCAACGGCTTATGCCCATTGCATCTCTGCAGACTTTGGAGAATGCAAACATATGAGTCAAGGTGTTGCAACAGTGTTCGCAGAGCACCCTGGAAAGCCTACCACCGCTGACCTCATCACAACTCACCTAACCTGCCAAGAGACGGACGGTACTTTTGTCTACGGACTGGTTACAAAACAAAAATATTACAATAAACCAGAAATAGATGACTACAACACTGCTTTTGAAGATATGACCACAGACTTTGAAAGAAAAAAGTTAAAAGTATCTTATTTGCTCGCCAATGGGATGCGTCCGGGACAGAATTCAAATCCAACACTTTGTGACAAAACTAGTTCAATTCCAACAATTTACAGGAGCAAAAATACAGGTTATAACACACAATGAAGAAACAAACAGAAGACTAAGAAGAGGCATTTCACATCAAACCTTTATTGTCCGGCTGAAGAACACTATCAACCTGATGACAGCTCACGAACAACCCCGAACCACTGATTCACCACTTCCACAGACTGATCCTCAGAGCAAAACATCACATGTCGAGACCTCCACAGAATCCATAGACAGTGCTGATTCAACAATCAACAGTAATTATCCTAGCCCCAGTGACAACTCAAAAAATCTGTCTGTTCACTTAACATTAATGGGGACTTGAATGAAATTGTGTTGTCAAAAAATCTAAGTAATTGTATAATGCACTACAACATTCAAGGAATTAAGCAAAAATTTGAAGAGATAAATATTTTATTAGAAAGCACAAAAAATGTTAAAATAATTTGCTTTAATGAACATAATATAAAAGAATCAAATAAACTGTTGTTAAATAGAATACACAATTTCAGTTTGAGGGATGGATTTTTCAGGAATTACTCTAGAGGTGGATCTTGTATACTAGTCCATGATTCCCTTTCTACCATTTCACGACAAGATCTAAGTAAAACTTTCAATGAGGAGTTTATCTTTGAAGGGTCATTTGTAGAAATTGAATATCTTAATTTGTTAATTGTATCAGTCTATAGAATACCAGGAAATTGCATTAGTAATTTGTTTCTTAAAAAATTTCAAAGCTTCCTAACTGTTTTGAAAGTTGAGGCAAAAAAGAAACAAATTGTTATAGCAGCTGATTTTAATATTAACCTTTTAGAAAAGAATAGTAATTTAGTAGAAGAATTTAAAAATATAATTAGTAGTCATGGTTTCTTGATAAACATCAAAGAGCCAACAAGAATAACAAAAACAACAAAAACCTGCATTGATAACTTTCTAACTTCTATAAATTATGGTAAAGCTCCTTTTGAGAATCTTGATTTATCTATGTCTGACCACAATGCTCTATTCCTTCAGTTACCTATTAGTAGTAAATTTAAATTTAAATCAACAAACTCTGTAAGATCCTATCGAAGACGTTTTCCTGAAGGATCCATCGCCCCATTTATTAATAGCTTGAGATGTAATTTGATGTCTTTATCTTTAGATAGTTCAGTGGATAACAATTACAAAAATTTGTTGGCTAAGATTAAATTAAGTATGGATGAAATCTTTCCAGTTAAACCTTTTAAAGCAAAAAATAAAAGTAGGCCTAAATCAAAAACTTGGGTTACTTTAGGGATAACAGTGTCATCAATAAACAAAAGAAAATTACATTATGAAGCAAAATTTAGTAATGATCCTAATTTTCTAAGCTATGTAAAAAATTACAAAAAGATATTTCAAAAGATTGTTAAAAAAGCTAAGAAATCTGCAAATGATAGGTATATAATGCAAGCAAAAAATAAGTCCAAAGCCATGTGGAATGTTGTAAAGGAAGAATTAGGTGTAGGTGTTAAAAGTGAAATTGTTAAGCCTCACATTAAACTTAAGGTCAACAATGAAATTATTGATGATGCTGTAGTCGTGGCGGAACTGTTTAATTATCAGTACTCCAACATTGTCAATATACTTAAGCTGCCAAACATGCCACACAGTGCTAATATCAATCCGTATGCTAACAATCCTACAGTTCAGGTGACAAAATTAGGTAATCTTCGTCAAACAAATGAAATTGAAGTAAAAAAAACTATTCTAAGTTTAAAGAACAGTAATGCCTGTGGCTGGGACGGTATACCCATTAAATTATTGAAATGGTCAGCAAATTAAATATCAAACATCTTGGCTACACTAATTAATCAATCTTTTGCAGAAGGTGTTTTTCCCCAACTACTAAAACTCTCAGAAATAGTACCCATTCACAAAAAAGGTTGTTTAAATGAAGTACAGAACTACAGACCGTTCTCTTTATTAAGTAATGTTTCAAAGGTTTATGAAAAAATTCTTCACACTAGATTATCTAGCTTTTTGGAAAATAACTACAAGTTTTGCAAGGAACAATTTGGTTTCCGTAAAAATCTAAATACCCAATCAGCTTTAAACAACTTTGTAAATTGCGCTTTGAAGGCCTTGGATGAGTCGCAGTGCACAGCTGGTGTGTTCTGCGACTTATCCAAGGCTTTTGATTGTGTTAATCACAAAATTCTTATCAAAAAACTTACAGCAATTGGTTTTCATGGACAAATAATTGAACTTTTGAAGTCTTACTTAAGCGATAGAAAACAAAGAACAGTAATTAAAACCGCCTCTGGGAACAAATACTCTTCTTGAGCAAATAATAACTATGGAGTTCCGCAAGGTTCAATCCTAGGTCCTCTCTTATTCCTCACATATATTAATGATTTACCTTTTCATTTTTCAAGTCAAATCTGTAACTTTACCCTTTATGCAGATGATACAACAGCTCTCATCAAACGAAGTACTGTTAAAATGTTACATGATGATGTCAAAGAAACAATTGGAGAAATAGCAAATTGGTTTTTAAAAAATGGCTTACTTTTGAATGAAGATAAAACTAGTGTTTTAATTTTCAAATTGAGAAATTCAACCACTGGAACAGAAACTACTGCCTCGCCCACAAATGTAGTAAAGTTTTTAGGGATATATTTGGATAGTAAACTACAATGGACAGAACATATTAATTTTCTAAACAAAAAACTCAGTCCAACAAGATATGCTTTAAGTGTTTTAATTCAGGTTACCTCCTTGGAAGTATGTAAAAATGTTTATTATGCTTATGTGTACTCTATTTTAAGCTATGGTATTACATTATGGGGGACAGCCACAGACATCCACAAAGTTTTTAAAAAACAAAAGTCAATAATCAGAACTCTTGCAAATTGCCCCAAAAAAACATCATGTAGACAATTGTTTCGAAATTTTAAAATTTTAACTCTAACTTCAATATACGTTTTTGAAATTTTAAAAATGGTTCATGGAAATCCTGGTATGTTTCAAAATTATCTTAGTAACCACTCATATAATACCCGAAGACAAGACATTTTTCAATACCCCACTCATAATTTAAAAAAATATGAAACAAGTCCTCTCTATATGGGGTTAAAAATTTACAATAAAATTCCAAACTCCTTAAAGCAATTAAACTTAGCAAAATTTACAGACAAAATCAAAACAGTTTTAGTAGAAAAAGCATATTACACTCTTGAGGAATTTTTCAACGACTCCTGGTAACAGACACCCAATCTCTCATCAACCTCTCCTAACATAAACAGTTCCACCATGCTGTAGCTTTGTAGGGGTAACTTACTGGCTAAATCCTAGGTTTTTTATATACCTATTTAGATTTCCTTATTTATTAGAAACCTTGACAATGTACCTGTCTGTGTATTACATTTGTAATAACTTTAACAGATGTTATGTGCAATAAAGATTTGTCATTTGTCATTTGTCATTTGTCGTCTGCAAAGTTAAATACGCCACAATACATGCAAGTGCTGTTAAGAGGACGTAGATTGTCAGAAACAACACTCAACTCATTTTCCAGCGTTCTTCTGAAGGCAGGTTGTAAACCAGCTTGTGGATTTCTTTCATAGTTAGGCCTTATGATGTTCTCTTTCAGCATTTCTTGTGTCAGTTGAATTCCTCGATACTCTTCCACGTCTTGCAGGTCTTCCCCTACCCTGTCTAGTTACTTCACTCATTATAAAAACGGAAAACAAAAAGTTTGCGCAACTGAAAATCTATGATGTCACCACAATCGTAATCATGATGTTGCAGCAATCTTGTCAAGGGATGATGACAATTTCACTTGATCACAAGAGATTTTCAAGGTCTTTTCAGCAATCGTGCAGGAGTTAATTGTGGTGTTACCAATTACCTTAAAAAAGTGAGAAAAATTAAACCTAGAGTGTGTCTTTACGACACATTCATTATACGCAAAAAATTGATTTGAAAAATGGTTAGCTGAAGTTTTTTCCTATAAGTTTGGCTAGACAACAAAATCTTATCTAGAGGATTGCACACCTCTAGTTTGTTCTACAAAAATAGCAATAAAAAACAAATTTCATAGTTCTTACTGTTAAATGAAAAATAAAAGAGGCAGAACTAAAAGTAAGGAACAACTTATGGATCCTAAAATATATGGAAGTTGTGCATACCTGTAGGATACGTCACGCAGCCCTGTCTGTCTGTCTCGCCGTCGGGTCACCTCACGCTGATTGAAACATTTGGTCATGTCACGCTTACGAACCACACGGTCATGCATGTGTCTGGAAACATACAAAACTACTCAATAACTGGTTAATTTGTCAATTCAATACCCTGAGGCGTGACCTATATTGGAAGCGGAGTTTATACTGATCAACCAACCTGACCAGACCAGACCCGACTCTTCAGACCAGAAGCCGGGTGGACGCTCCTACACTGCAGTCAGTCTACGGTATTTACTCACACACTCCATAGTCACAAGCACACAGCAAGCAGAGTTGATAGCCAAGCATTTTTGTTGTTATTAAACTTTTTTTGTCATACTGCAGCAAAAACAGTAGTTTTAGCAAATTTCCCATTTAGGGAATAAGCTATTACCGTAGTACTCATGGTAAGACCTGGACCCGGGACCGATTTCATTTTTCATTTTGAGGTCCCTAGAGGCCAAAAAGACCATCCGTTCAAATTCATATATATATATATATATATTGTGACGCAAAATTCTAGGGGAGGAATAAACTAGTATTCACCTAAGTCAGGCTAGGCCTACCCCTAGAACCGGCCACACTCAAATTTCTTCCCCGGAGTGCTCAGAAGGAGCCGAGAAAAATCCAGGGGTCGATACGAAGTTGTCACGGCTTTGACTGATCAATATATTAAAATTTAATTGAAGGCTCAGAGCTCTAGAAGCACTCAGGAAATCCTGCAGACGCTCAGTGGGAGCTATGTCATCCTCACCTTCGTGAACGTGTTTTGTTAAATTTTGCCTAACTTTTAGAATGACTCTGTAGGGCCGACGAGTATTCAATCTTAAGCCAATGTGATATAAATACTCACATTAAACTGTAAACTATCTGGCTATGGACGTTGGTAAATAATATAATATCGAATAAAAGGTAAAAACAATTCCTACAGAGTCGTCTGGGCCTAATTCATATAATTGGACGGAGAATTTATCGTGATATGATTGAAAACGATGTTAATATTAATATTCGTGGCTGATTGTTCAAACCAGCCTACTCCCAAGACTAGGTTCTCTCGCCCGCCACAGACGGGGTTTAGAACTCAGACGACAAGTCTCGGGGTGTTAAAACGGTGAATTAATTAGGATAAAAGTATGTAATAATCATTCGTAGAAATCACAATTTTGAAACTAATTGATTTAAATCTAAACTGATGGTTTGGCTTGCTGACCACCCTTTTTACAGTTTAGATGAATTTTTTGCAGAATACAATTGTAATGGTAAAATTGTTATCTAGTTCTTACTTAGTCCCTAGTCAACTGTTACCTAGTCTTTCAAACACTTGTTTAAGTAGGTACCTCACTTTTGTTTCATATATATAGTTCTGTGTTTTTCAAATGATTTTAGCTTTATTTTCTTGTTGTCTTTGTTATATTTAAGTTTAGTGAAGATTCCATGTTATAGACCATGTTATACTATCTAGAATCTATGGCCCTTTTTTTTGTTAACGAGGTCTATTGTAACATATGTTATTTAATGACCAATAAAGATTTATGATTTATAACCAAACGAAAATCACCGCTAGTTACTGGCGGGTCAAGACTCAAGTCGGCGGAAAATAAGTTATTAAAATTTAGTTATTTAAAATCGAATTTTGGAACGAAAATAGTCGTAAAACGAAAATGCGCGTGGGAAACGAAAATAAAATAAAACGTAAAAAAGGCCTAACTAGTATATCTAACCTTCAGTAAACGAATTGTCGATTGTCGTGCAAGCGTAGATGTAACGACGAAGTTACTTTGAAGACGGCGTACGAACGAATAAACCTGTCCTGGAGTAAAATCCTTCGTTCCAGCCCGCTTGAGGCTTACGCGCTCAAGCGGCGAACTCAAGTACTACTAGACAACAGCTGATCGCAAATTCACTTGTTGAGCTCTTGAGCTGGTCTAGTTCTCGTCTGTCGTCTGTCAACAAATAAACACCAGTTTGGGGTTATGTCGTCGTCGGCATTAAATACCTGTAAAATCGACCGGTTTAACTTTATTATGTGAAACTAAGTGCTATTATGAATAAATATGTGGTTGTGGATGTGTTTGTGTACTTCACTGTGAATAAAAATAGGCCTACGTTCTTTGGCCCGTAGCCCAAGCTATGGCCAACACATAGACCTAGGAGTAGGCTATTGTGGTTAAACATCGGGTAAGTTCTGGTGTTCATTTATTCGTTGTACGTTTTTACCCCCCTTAAAATTTGGTATTATGTGTCCGTTAGCGCGATAACTCGAGCAAAAATGATCCGATTTTTATGAAATTTGGTACATACATGTAAACCTACGTTTATTCGAACGAGTTCGCGATCCAGCTTAATCGGACCATGGGAACGGGGGTTTATGGGGTTTTTATGGGGTAAAAATGGGTTTTTCCCATTCTTGACCCTAAAAACAAAAAATTTTGCAATTTCTTTCTAAACCGTTTTGTAGAGCTTAAAAAAATAAATAATTTAGTATATTGAAGCGCTGTTGTATGTCTAACGGTCACGGAGAAAATTTAAAGATAGTGTAATTTAAAATTCCCATGTTATTCTTATGGAGAAAATGAAAATTGTTGTAGTTTACTTGTTTATGGATATATATTGATAAAATGTAGCAAATTTATTTATTTCATTCTATACTATTGACGTATGGTCAAAAAACACTTTTTATTTACCTTCCCCATAGCAGCAAACCTAAGCACTCGTTAAATCTAATTTAATTTAAATAAGGGAATAAATATGTGTTATTTATGGAAATATTTTAGTAAAAATGTAATCAGACAAGTTGGAATTAGCTTAGTCTGCAGGTTTGCTGCAGCGGGGGTATTTAATGCATGCGTTGTGGGTCTAAAGTAGCATTTTTACTATCTAGGGAATAAATAAATCTGCTGTTGTATTCGTAATTATTTATCGATTGATTTATTAGGTAAGGTTTTAGCCTAGTGTTGTCGATCGCTTGACATATCGAGGGTATAATGTATTGTAACACAATCGTAATAGATGAAATGATTGAATCACTTACTAAACAGCTCCTTATTTGCATTAGCAGAATTGAAATCAAGCTGGAAGTAGTTTTGAGTGGTTATCTTTACATAACAATTATTTCGTTTTCTGGCTTAGTTTGTTAACTAATCATGCAATATGACGAAAAATATAGTTCACCACACGGGCAAAGAGTATCTTTTTTACCCTCGCTCATTTTCCGGACCTCAGGTCAAAAAGAGTCACTTTAGGCTCTAGCAATGAAATATACTATTGTTGATTATGTTTGTTTGTAATTTTGCATTTTTAGGCAACTTTAACCTAGTTTTTGTAAATGTTGTTTAGTTTTTTGTTATTGTTTTCGGTTTGAAAAATGGATGAGGAACTTTTTGATTTAATGTTATTGGACAGCAATTTAGGTTGTGGTAGTATTTGTCTTTCTGGTTTCACAAAGCCACTTTCTCACGCACTAATTCCATAAACTTTCCTTTGCCAACCATTTTAGCACAATCTCACAAACAGACAAAATAAATAACCTCAACTATGCACCAAACTCGGTCAAAGTTTTGAAATTTGAAGCGACTGGGTCTCTGGGTCTGGTCTGACCGGGTGAAAAAACAAACTATTTTGATTTGTTTCCGACAAGCTCAGACCCGTTCCTTCTTCCCGACACTACAATCAGTGCAAGTGTATGAGGGGAGACAGCGCTACATGTGTTTGTTTCCGGCAGACTCGGTCAGACCCCCCCAGACCGTAAAATTCCGCTTCCAATGTAGGTTGCGCCTGAGACTCATTATCAGACGTTTAAACACCCTGTTGTTGCAGGTGTCAAAAACAGAAAAATCCGAATTTTTCTTTTTCTAAAGGGTAAAAGATCTAAGGAGACAATTTAGTTTTTAAAATGTAGAAAAGCCAGGAGATTTACTAAGAGATATATAGGCCAGGAGTTGGTTGTTTGACATTTTATCTGACCTGTACTTACATACTTATGAAGTACTTATGATTGTAGCCTACAGTCTGATGACCTGCTTGTTGATTTTTAACCTAAAATTATTTTTGGCTCATAGTGATATTCTTACTTGAGATAAAACTAAGTTGAGATGTTAAAGTTATAATTTTAAAGTCAGTAAGTTTAACACTAACCTGAAGGTGTTTTCAATACCAGTGGTGATATTTACTGGACGAGATACATTTATGGCTGCTTCCTTCAGTCTCACATAGAACTCATCATCTTCCAAACCCCAACCCCAGTATTTGTTGCTCATCCCATTGACAGCTTCAAAGTCCTCTCTGAAACCACAAGATACTCTCCATAGACAGGGCCGGTTTAACCCATACACGAACTACGCGGCCGCATATGGCGCCACGAAAAAGTGGCGCCGTCGCGCCAACGGAACAATTTTTTTTTTACGTGAACAACGTAATTTTGTTTATTTTTGCTCAGAGTTCAAGTATACCACAATAAAGGCATTTATTCTGTTTGTACCAACAGCACTTAAAAAATGTGTATATTTGTACAGCACTACAACTCAAGGACTCAATGAAATTTTCAGTTTCGACTTTGTAGTGAGCTGACACTCGGCAGCATACGGCGCGGCGCCTGTGGGTTTCATTTCACGATTCACTCATGCTCGAGATGAGATAAGCAAGCGCGCAGCGCCAATTGTCACAACAAGAAACTCCCCTCCCTTCTGATTCTTATCCTAGAGCAGAGCACTACGTTGTATTGCTCTCTTTTAGTGTATTAGCGTATTAGCGTGTATCGGTATCGTAATGGCGTTGTTTTGATGATTCAAGATTGTTGATAAGTGAATGATTACGAGTGTTTTAAGTTTAATTTATAATTAGCGCATTAAATAAGAAGAAAGTATAAACTGAATAAATGAGTAAAACATCTAGCGAGCCGATACTAAGAAAACAATGGCAGAAAAAAAGAAAACGTCTGGCACTTATTATAAAAAGGGTAAGGCGAATTTGGAAGAGGCTGATAAAAAACAAGCCAAATTAATGAGTAGATTTCTGTTTAAATCATCTGATGGCGAGTCCAGTCAGCCCAAAGAAGTCACGATTGAAGACGGCAATGACGTAGGTATTTATTTATTTATTTTCCAAGGAAAGATTAAAACAAGCAGCTGATCACAAACGGTAAACATTACGTCACTGCCGTCTTCTATCGTGACGTCATGCTTGACGATCATTACGGATTACGGCCTGTTTTTTTTTAGTGTGGCCTTGGTTTTGCTAAAGTTTATATGATGAGTAAAAGTGTAAAAATGTTAAATTTCTGCGAATAATGAACAGTTTTTTATTGCAAGTATTCTTCTAACCTAAACTTGTGTTTCCCAAAATTATTGGGAAAAAATTCACAAATACGGTTATGTTATGTTATTGGTTTGTGGGGGGGGGGGGGGATTCCTAAGTGGCGCTTCGGGTGTTCGCTTAACTCTGAAAAATTCCTAGAACCGGCCCTGTCCATAGACAAAGATCATGAGATTGAGCTATCAGTATCTACCATGTATCTACGTCAGTTACTAGTCACAAATAGATCGGACTCATTTTAGTGATATAGACAATCGACAAGGCTATAAGGATGATAAGTGGAACTTAGGACTTAGATGTTTTTTTTTTTTTTTTTAGGACACAGAGAAACACTAAGGGCGGGTTTCCGAGCTCGGGAATACGTAATCCTGGAGTTACTTAATCAGTGAATAAAGTTAGTCATCAAATAAAAAATCGGGTTTCAGAGCTCGCGAACTAACTCCCTAGTCCGCGGACTAGTCTATTCGGAGACTAACTTTATTCGTCAACTTCTGGACTACTTATTCTAGGACTAAGGTAGAAATCACGGGGAATTTTAGTTTTTGAGTATTGGTAGTAGCAGCGGACAGACGAATTTGAGACGATACCTGCCAAAGTTGTTCACGGACAGCGCTCATAGCGACACTAGCGTCTACTGTCTAGTCTGGTTCTAATCACTTATCAGTTGGGATAATGATTCCTTGAGTTTCACTGAAGAAGGTAACTAAAAGAAGAGATCGTGTTCAAAAACGAATGTCGAAATAAAAACCCTGTTATGGGAACCATCATAAAAAAATAAAAAAAAAAAACTGAAGGTTTATTTATTGCCGTTAAGTTTGATAACAAAAAAAAAACCTTCCCGATTGAAGAATAAGGTGTCAAATGTATTAGTATATGCCTTTACTTTGTCCAAGTTATTTTTTATGAGAATCTAAAAACTGTAGGCATTTGAGATATTAGAGATTTGTTGTGACTTTTGTAATCCTAATGCAAACCCCAATAATTGTCTATTTAAGATCTTACAATTATTTTAAAATGAATACTGTAGGATGATAAAAAATAAAGGGAAATATTTTATTATTCTTTGTATGAAAATCAACCGTAAAAAATTATCATTATTACAACAATTTAAGAGTAGGCCTAGTTATAATTTATCTGCTTAGAATGTATTTGTGTTCTCTGATTGTTTTGTATTTTAACAATTCCTCTGGATTCTGGAAGTACAATGTGTAGTAGAGAATAAGTAGTATAGGTGTCCAAGCAACTTCAGTTAACTTCCAATCATCTGAGCTCCGGTTATCTGAGAATCCAGGTTGTCCGAGTTAGCTCACGGCTGAAATATTTTTTTTTTTTAACCAAATTCCAAATTATTATACTAGGTATGAGTTTCAATTGAAAATAATACTAATACATAAGTCTTGTTTTGTTATGCATACTGTTAGTTTTGGTTAAAAGTATTCTTTAGTAAAATATTGTATTACAGTAGACTATCCGGACTCCTCTGGACCGAGGCCAGTCTGGATACTGTAACGGGTTTTTCGGTAAAACCGACGTCCCCAAAAACTCGTTAAATGGACCATTTAAATGCATGTAGCCCTATGTAACATTATGTACCAAGCGTATTAAATACGTACTAGAGAACCCGTGCGGCTCAATGAGCCGCATAGTATGAAACCACGACGCCGAGGAAAACGTTATGCTTAAATTTGAGGAATTCTAGTTTGTTACAGCTTAGAGTTGTTTAAACACATGTTAGAAACTAATTTTAAATATCTCTATTTGTGTCGTCAAGATTCACCTACATTATTTCTGCTCTCAGTTTTAACTGATAACTTCTAATGAATGATAATCGATCTGCTTCAATTCGAGCAAACATGTTGCAACAAAGTTTTTCCAGCGTTGAGAATTGAAGAAAACTGTTGCCTAGCCTAGGCATCCCCCTAATCAAACTAATTTTCTCCGTAGAGAATCCTGAAAAGTGGAGTTATCAGCCATTTAATGTGCTCAATTTTTTACCCACAAACTCTGGGTTATCAACTGGAAAGCCATAATCTGCTTTGAATAGGCTAAAGCAGCAACACCATTGATAGTTTGTTAACGTGTTGTGTGTTAGTCACAGTATATGCCCCGCATCAGAACGTTTTCACGTTGTTCAGTGGGGTTTCTATTAATACCTGTCCCAAAGTTTTGAAAGTATGGATTCATTTTTCGAAATAGGTTGGATAACTCTTGTAGCTATAAGATTTGGATAGCAATTTTCATTTTCTCTTTTTGAACAGCGTATATTATTTGCCTCTTCTGAATCATAAAAATAAACTTTACTGTAACTACTCGATCGTTGAATACATGAACACTAATTCCTTCACTATGTCTAATAATGCCACTAAATTCAGTAAAAAAACTTTGTATAAGTTTTTCCGAGGAACTGGCAACATCACCTAGAAGTAAACAATCCATTTGTGTTTTTCCTCAATTAAAGTAGAGCGAGTAATACAAAAGTTTACAATAAAAACATAAGGTCCGCCAAGATGTGGTATAATCTTACTACTTGAACTTATCAACTCAAGGCATTATTATGGTTTCTACTAAATGTTTTGAAATATCTCAATCTGTCAGTGTCATAAGTAAAAATTTCTTGCATACATTCATTTGATCTGACATTAGGCAAGTTTATTTTACCACCGTGACAACACTATGTGCTTCGTATACCTATTTTTTTACTTCCAAAGTAAGTTGCATAGCAGAACTGGCAAATATTATTCATCTCACCAAGTGAATGTGTATCTGTTAGACCAGGCCTCCCTTTCTCTACTCTCCTTGTACGCACAAGATACCTTATTATCTCCTCCCCCCGTTTTCAAAATTTCTTCTTTGAACCTCAGACATTTTCCGTTCTTCCAACAAAACTGATTAACTGTTTAACTTGGAAAACCTACTGAATACTAAAACATTAATATTTACTCCCAAAAAGCTAATGAGTTTCTTTTTATAAACAGCTGTTTTTTGTTTTTAAATTTGTTCTGTGTATTTCTTATGGGGATAACCCGACCTTTGAGAGGGTCTCACGCCCTTAAGAGTAAGAATTTTTAAATTCTAAATTCTTATTGCACAACTACATATTGAGACGAATATTTTGAGACCTTAAACGTTGAAATTGGTCTACAAATAAGGGAGGAGTTGCGTTAACAAAATACGGCTTCACGTATTATATATATAGATTTAGATTTTATAGGCCCTACATTAATTTTTTCATACAGTTAAGTTTTTCTTTCTTTCATCGTTATATTGTTATTTTAAATTCTACGTTTAGTACCTTATAATATTAATTTCAGGGACCGTTTGGCCTATTATAGTCTTAAGCATAAATTGTTGATAAACGGGGTTTTTGTTCAAAGATGGGTTTGCTTATACTTAAGAGAAAAATAAAATTTTATGAAAAAATATCAAGAGGTATGAAATTGCAAGTAAATTTTATGCCGATTAAGAATTTGGCATTTATATAGATACAACTTCACAAATTGAGTAATTGCACCAAAAGTTAAGTTAGTCCGCCCCTTAATCCTGCCCTTCGCCTGGACTAAATATTGCCCATATTTATTCCTCGAGTTAGTCTTTGTTGCCCAGTTGTGGATTAAATATTTGGCTCCGAAACCCGATCGAATAACATTTAATTCGAGGATTAAGTAACCTGTGACTCCGAAAACCACGAGAGTAAGTCAGGGACTAGTTAACTCTCGGAATAGACTTAGTCGTTGACTAGCGTAATCCTCGAGCTCCGAAACCCGATTTTTTAGTCCTAGAATAAAAACTGGTTTGAACTGGATTTTAGTCCAGGAATAGCGTTAGTCCCGAGCTCCGAAACCGGCCCTAAGTATAAAAGAAGTTCAATATCTTACCAAGACCTGAGGCACTCTATAATCCTCAGTTAGGTTAATCATTCAAGATTAAGTGCGAGCATCTCAAAAGTACGAGAGTTGGTAAACTGAATTACA